AAAGCCATAGAGATCAAAAAACACTACTTCACATACGCCAACCTACTGAATCTTACAGATCATGATGATAAATTAACCCCAGAAAGGCTTTACAACAGAAACAAAGATGTCAAAGAAGGAAAAAGCAAGCAACTCATGCCTCATGCTTCTTCCTCCTTTTATTACAGAGAAAACAAACAGGAATGTGTATCGATCAGAATCAGAATATCAGAATCAGAACTCATTAGCCAAAGGTGCATGTTCAGAGTGCATGAAAACATTGGGATAGACAAGGCCAGCCAAGCCACCACCAATGAGAGGTCCAACCCAGTAGATCCAGTTTGTCACGGAAATCACCACTAGCCACGGCAGGGCCAAAGGACCGAGCCGGGTTCATCGACCCGCCGGAGAAGGGGCCGGCCGCCAGGATGTTGGCTCCAACAATAAAGCCAATGGCAATGGGAGCAATGGTCCCAAGAGAACCCTTCTTGGGATCAGCAGCTGTAGCATACACAGTGTAGACCAAAGCAAAAGTGATGATAATCTCCATAATCACTCCTTCTATTGCTCCGACTCCGGCAGCCAAACTGTGTGTCGGAGTTGTCTGACAAAAAAAAAAAAATCACCAAAACACAGTTTGGTTCAGTTTTATTAACATAAACCAAATAAACTTTTTAATAAGCATAAAGATGAAGATATATACACACACATACCAAGCCTCCGGTGACAAACTTGAGGAAGAAGCAAGCGACGATGGCGCCAACAAGCTGAGCAATCCAGTAGAAGATACCAGTGAGGATTGTGATCTGACCTCCAAGAGCTAAACCAAAGGTCACTGCTGGGTTCACATGGCCTCCAGATATGTTGAATCCAACTGAGACTGCAACAAACAAAGCAAATCCATGGCAGATTGCTACTGCTACTAACCCTGGAGGATCCAGTGCTGCATCGCTTGTCAACTTCCCTGCATTACGCACACAAAACAAACAATCACTTGTCAGAACCTATAATAAGAACCACTTAAACATAGTCACATGTATCTGCAGATGCATCAGTTTTTTGTCTTATAAATATCTGCATGGACACAAACATGAAGGAACTAACCATAGGCCATGGCAGATCCAACGCCAGCGAAAACAAAGAGGAGGGTTGAGATGAACTCAGCAAGGTAGGCTTTAATGGATCCCAGACTGAAAGAATCATCGAAGCGTCCGAAAGCTATGCCTGCCATATCTTCAGAATGTTTCTAGAGGATTCCTTCTTCAAGGTGGAGAGAGATAGAGTGAGAGAGAAGATAATAGGGAAGTGTTGAGAGTCAAGAAGAATATGGAATGAAGGGCTTCTCTGATATGATACATGTATATATACTCACTAGAACTTGCCAAGTTTAGTTTTGAGGCTTATTAAATAAGTTCCCTTTCTCATGAGCTCTAGAGTTGCATCATTACTGTACTGTTACGTATGTCTTTTATTTATTTATTATTATTATCATGAACAAGTGATTTGTTTAAAATTTCTTTTGGGCGTACTTTCATCCAGGCGCGTTCAAGATTTTAGATATTACTTGTAAATATTTTTTAAAATTAAACAAGGATTATTAATCAATCAATCAATATATATATAATATATATATATCCCAATGGATTGAGGTAATCGTATATTGTAAGTGTGTTTGACGTTTGAAGTACAAAAACAGAATAAGAAAAATTAAATTTAAAAAATTGCAAATAATATCATTAAAATGATAACCAAAATAGATCCTTAAATTACATAAAGCTTTGAAATAAGTTACACTATTTATGACATTTGATTATATTAGTTCTGACAACTTTTATAAATATTTTAATAATTATTTAAAAACATAAAATTATTTTTAGTTATGTATCTTTTTTAAAAAATAAAAAAGTCAGTATTAAATTTTATTTAAATAGAGAATACAACTTTTAATTTCTCATGTTTGTATCAATTATTACTTGGTCCTTTAAATTTAATTTTTATTAATTTAGTCCCTTAAATTTATTTGGATTATCAATTTAATCCTTATTATTTAAAAACAAGATTACACTGTTAAAATTTTTCTAACTTGAATGATAAAATATTGATAGCAGTCATGTAAATAGTGAAAATGTTCTATAATTATTTAGATATAAAAAATAGACTCTGAAGTTTTTTTAAAAAAACACACATTATAAAAATATTATATTAATAAAAATTAAAGTCATTTGGGGTTAATTTATTTTGTATAGCTACATATACATTTTAAATCATCAATATGCTTTATCTATTATATCATTTTGAAAGTCAATATGTGTTTTAAAACTTAAAAAACTTACATAATATTTTAAAAAAGTATAAAAAATAAAATTAATAAAAATTAAATTGACAGTGTAGATAAACTTGAGGGATTAAAATTTTTATTATCCTTTATTTAAAAAAACAATGTATTATCGTTCATCCTTCACCTTCCAATTTGAGATTAACTTTTAAACTTTGAGAGTCCCTATAAATTTATAGAATTTCCTGAGAACATAAATGAATGAAGTTTGAATTGTTGCATATAAATTGAATTGTTGCACGAGAATATGGTTAGTGAGTGTGGAAGAAAGAAATCCATGGGCGTCCAATGAGGACAAGCTTAGCTGGCAGTAACGTGATTTAATAGAAATGTCGAGAAGCACATGAATGATTCCTCCATGTGAGCAGGAGAGAGAAAGGCGGTGTTTGGTGGGACAGAAAATGAATCAAAATCATCATCAAACCCAAAACCAGTGGTGGGTGCAACACATCAATTGCTATTATGGGCCACACAGAGCACCGCCCATGCCCCTCCAAAATGGCTAACAAGGTTGAAGGACTTGGAAAATGGGCGGACACAAATTCATGACAATGAATTATTGAATTAAATGATAAAGTATCCGACGTTGATTTTAGTGGAAGTGATTATATGACTGCTTAAATGCAAAACTTCAGTTTCAAATCAATGTGAATACAAAAAAAAAAGGTCCTTGAGAGAGATATCTTTAGTTAAATCGGACAATACTTAAATTTGACCCTTTCAAATAATCATATCAAAAATTAAATTGATAGGTCTCATGAGTTTGGCTTATTAATTAATGATTTGATTTGGAGCTGATATATACACCATTAAAGAGGAGAATCTTGTGGAATTTTCTAGCTCCTTTGCTTGGTTAATGCACAAACTTCCCCTGAAAGGTTGCTTAATCATGATTATGTTATCATTATTTTAAATACTAGATAAAGTCTTATATTGTATTCATTAATAAGATATAGTATATGAAATATTTTTGGTTATCCAAGAACAAAAGTAAAAGGGACTTTATTTTTGGGTCATAAAAGAGGCTTTAGGATATCCCCATGTGATTCTTGCGTCCTCTGGCCTAGTCCAAAAGTTGACATCAAATTAATTAAACGGATAGTGAATGGTCCTCCATCGACTATGCTTTTCGAGTTTTCTGTTTCTTTATTTGTTCATTTATTTATTTATTCAGTGAGGTGGGTCAGGAACTCTTGCATAGTGTTTGATTTAACAAAAGCAAGGAAAGCTTGGGGATTTTACCAAGAGAATGGGAAGAAATCAATTTTATAGAATATAAATCATACTCTTGCCATTTGGATAAAGTTTTATTGTTGATTTGGAGTTCTATTCTAAACATTGGTTGAGGTTGTCTCCATGTCAAATGGTCATGTTCTGTGAGAGAACTTCTCTCTGGATGCACACAGAACAAGAGTATGCAAATGGAGAGGACAAAAATAGATGTTTAGAAGAGAATATTGATCCCCTAAACACACTTCATATTGCTAATATCTAAATGCTTATTTTAAATTTTAAAAAATTATTTTCTTACCTGATGATAAGGCTCAAAAAATACTTATAAGATATTTTTAAATTACTTATTAACAAGATTCTTATGTCTTGGCAAGAATTTGAATCATATTTTCATAAATAAAATAAAAAAGTCATGTCCTTCTCATCTTGCGAACTTTCACTATGCCTTATATATATATATATTTTTTTTTGTTATTTTTTAAAAGTCTGAGTTCGCCAGCTTGGCATCTCGTGTTATAAGATGAAACACTCCTTTAAATTTAATGTCTGAAATAAACATAAATGAAATGAAAAGAGAATAAAAAACTATTTTGAAGATAAAAATTAATCATGATGTGTGTGTGTGTGTAAAGACAACTAAATAACAATTACAATATGATAAACATTGTAAAGAAATCATTCTTTCCTCCATCAAATGGGCTCAAGTATACTCTCTTCCAAAATTATGCATAGCTTAAATTCAAGAAGAAAATTGAACCACACATGATGATAATCACATACGGTCTTCTATCATGAGATTGGAAATTTCATACCCCAAGAACTACTTAGATATGTTCTAGTAATGAAACGTGTGAATAATTATTACTACAACATTTATTAATAAAACACAATAATTAATATGGGTGTTTTAGCTTTTACGTATAAATGATGGGATATGAAGTGAAAAATACAACATTAATACATTAACAACAATATGTGTGGGAAACATATATATGGCATAACAATCAAATCGAGAGAAGTCTCTTTGGATGCCTTTTGGGAGTGGCATTGATAGTAATTATGGATCCTAATAGCAGACAACCGAACATCGAAGAAAGTGGCCAACAAAATCACAGCCAAGATTGCTTTTTGTGATCAATGGCTTCCCCGTGTTGAGTTTCATTCCAATTTGCAGCAAACTTAACCGGATCAGATTAAAAAGGAAAATGGAATGAAAAACAGTCTTGAAAATAATAATAATAATAATAAATGTTCATATTCTTAATTTTCTATAACAAAAAAGTAATAGGAAACATAAAAACTATCAGACAAAATGAAAATGTCAACTTTATGGGGCTATAGGACCGGATTGGGATAGTCCTCTATAGGTTGAACAGGCCGGTACATCACCTATGACACGTATTTATAACTTTATTTCTCATCAGATGAACAGCATAAAACAATAATGAGGATATGTAACTCGAAAAAGAAGAAAAATAGATTTCATTGAGGGATTTCCACATATCACAATTACTAAACTGATACAGGAATCATTAATACCCTAGCATTAATTACGAAGAATTTTTGCTCATATATGAACAGGAGGAAGTATAAGTCTACAAGAAAGCCATTTCAGGTAACACATTTGAAACTAAGAAGTTAGACACCAAGGTTGACAGATCTTTTTATTCCCACAGAAAATAAAGCTGACTAAGCATATCGTCAATGCATTAATCATTCTACTTCTACCTCCATATTTTCAGGAAACGGTATTGAAGCACAGCAGTGATAGTATCCATTTTCATCAAAGGAAAATCTCTGGGAGAGATGTACTTCTCGAATAGGATACTCTCCCCAATCCTCTGATCCGTACTGCTCGAATATGCCCCGTGCATCGAAGGAATCAAACTTTCCTTTCCTCTTCATCCTGAACACCGGCAGCTTATGTCAGCTAAGGGCTATTTAAGCTAAAAATATCTTAAGGAATTCCAAAATTATACCTTTTCCTATGCCTTGCATTCATCACAGTTGCATGCAACTGCAAATCAAGAAGAGAATACCTTGATGATTGCAAAATATAAACCAAAACCACAAACAAAATGCATGGAAGAAGGAGACTGATTATGGTTGCTAGAGATCCTACCCAAGCATCAAGACATATTTTGCATCTCTGCTTTTTCATAAGCACTATTCATGTTTTTGTTTTTCTTCTATCACAATCAGCTCAGAATGTACATATCATTCTGTACATACCATGCTTAGTTAACAGTTAACATCCAAAGGAGGAAATTCTCGAGACGTGTGCATATGACATCATGTCAAAATCTGGGTTTAAACAGTTTGCGTGTATATATTACAAGACAAACGGGTATTCCACTACATAGCATTAATACCAAAGGGAAGATAAAAGGGAAAATTACATTGAAGTCCCCCAGAATGAAGTTTATTACTGAGATGTCGCATGAATTTTACAAAATACTCCTAAGTTCTAAATTCATGATGTCAATGTGCAGTTGCCCAGTTGCCCATGAATTTTTTTTAAATGGCCATTGCCCAATTGGCAATGTCCTTAGTTAAGTTGTCAATGCATAAAATTTGAAACTTGGAAGTATTTTGTAAAATTCATGGGACCTCTCAATAATAAACTTCATTCTGTAAGACTTGAATATAATTTTCCCAAGATAAAACTGTCACACCAAAAACTAGCTCAATCAGATGTATATTATGTCAATATTTGATTTACCCTTGATCCAAAAGAAACAAACAAATTATGATAATTGTCTAAATTTAACGTACCTTCAGTTTCTGATTAAAATCATTCTCCAAGACTAGTCCAGCTTCAACATATGCATCAATAATGATTTCTAGAGAAGCTCAGAAAACTCTTATGACTTTGTAAGACTAATATATGATCTAAACCAGACAGAATTAACATCATTTTTCACGGGTTTAGAGAATAAGAGATGTTTGATTTCATGTTGAAAACCACCGATACCATGGAGAGATTCTTTATAAGCCTCTTGCTTTTTCTTACTTCAATAAAGATTTTATTAACCTTCTGTTCTCGTACTTTACTATCTTTCTTTCTTTCCTTTTTAACCTTGTTTATTTTCTTGCTCTTTACTTTTTGTTCATCATCTAAATTGTGCAGACTACCGCTGTCCTAGAACCATTTTAACTTTTTTAACTTCTTGTTTTTTAGTTTCTGCATTATTATCTAGTTGCATTCGTTAACTATTTGCATTCTTCAGTCATATAGAGAGCAAAACCATAGTTTTAGTGCTTTGGGACATAAACCATACATGCACTAACAAAACCAATTTCTCTAGTACAATTATGGATACGACAAGCAAGTAGAAGACGGCCCTCACTGCCAACCTCTTCCACTGGGGCATACAGAACACGAGCTTTTGCTTGAGAACCTTTCATGCAATCCTGCAGGATTACATACATTATTTCCTCAATAAAAATATCTCATAAACTTCCTACCAAAAAAAAAAAAAATTCCACAAACTGCATAGAAGTTTAATCTGATAATAAGAAGAAAAACAGTCTCCAACTTACGTACAAAAGCCATAACAAATCTTTTAATGAAAGACTGCTTTGAGAATGAAAATTATAAGATCCTATGGTTAAATATTAAAAAAAAAATCCTATAATGAAATGCTGAATTATAGGAACGATTAATCTATAAGCCAGCAAAGGGTAAACTTGCAAATTCTATGTATATCAGTAAGAAGAAATCTGCAGATATAAAACCTTTAACTTGTGCAGTTATTGCAATCTACAAACTAAGTACAAATATAAGACATTGTCAAGGCACGGTATCCAATCAATAAATACTCAGCATTTATAAATTTATATGATGATTGCATCAGCCAAATGGAGATCAAGATGGACTCCTACCAATCCTTTTAATTTTACAGAGAGGGGCCGATTGTCAAGGGCTTCCCTAACTCTTGAGGAGATATTCTGCATAGTGACAAAAGTAATTACAGGCAAAGAATTTACTAGAAAAAAAAATCATATTTTGTAGAGATTATAATAAAAACACTATATGCATAAGCCTTCACTCAACAGGTTAAGCTTTTAAGTACAATGAGCTTTCACTTACCTGTAAGACCTCAGTAGCTTTCTTAACTCGATCCTTGTTCCACAATTTCAGCATGAGTACAGTAAGATGAAACGTTCTAGGCTTAATGAATATAGACTTGTCAATCCCCAGGTCTAAAAGGTGCAACATAAATCAGCATATAAGGAAAAAAAAAAAAAAAATAATGAATAGAAGAATGTAATTAACTTGAAGCTTCTAACAAATCCTCGTTGAGTTTCAAAATTAGGCATGGAAGTAACTGATTACAGTTAACATAGGCATGCCTTGGGAATATAACTTGAACAAGAATACAAGATTAGCTAAAAAGTTCTCAAGCATAACATAACATAATATAGCTTGTTTTTATACCAGATAGATCAGGAGACTCGGATGCAGAAGATTTGGATGCTTTAGGTACATAACTGACAAGTGGTATGTTTTTGAGATTTACTTCAACTGATTCATTGCTGTCACCGACTTTAAGTTCAACTGCAACATTAGGTTTTTCCTTTGACAAACCATGCTGTTCTTCATTGTCAGTATTTTCTTCATTGGAATCAGATTCAAGATTCTCATCCATGCAAGAATCACCAGTTCCCAATATAGAATTTTGAAAACTGACAAGTTTATTAACTAACTCAGGATGGATGGCCAATGGTAGTGATATGAAGTGTGAATAATCAAGATTTCGACTCTTAACTGCCTGTTATCAAGGAAAGATACAATGCATGATACAGTAACTACAGTAGTCTTCATTATCACTGACATAATACACTTTTAATAAACAAACTGGAAAGAGGAGTTAAATTCAAGTCTAATCTTTTAAAGGGAAGCATGGACAGGCAACTGACCTCATCAATTATGGCTTGTATCCTCTTGGAAGCTAGAGTCACACTATCAATCGAAATGCCTTCAATGGCTGCAAAAGACAATCATACAAAATCCATTAGATGTAGGGCCATGATACCCACTCTTCCTTGATTCATGATGACGTCCAGTGATTAGGTCAAATTTGGCTTTAGGGTATATAGAGTTCAACAGAGTCTAGTCCAGCTTGAAGCAGAAGCCCAGAAAATCAGAGTGATTCTTACATTCTTTTGAATGTAGGCAAAAAACTATTTCTTATGTTAAGCCAACATTCAGTTTTCCAAACATCTCAAAGCATAACAAAAATCGGGCTCAAACAACGGCATTATAGAGAATATTTATTTCTTCTGAGTCTAAATGCTGGTTCCAAGAGAATTATTTCAAAGCTGACGATGAAAAGACATACAGTGTGTATGGGCAAATCCAAAGACTTACTGACAAAATCATCTTCTTTTGAAGATGGTAATATTATCTTAACCCCCATCTCCTCCTCAATATTTTTCCGCGTGGATCCCCTGAAATAATATCAACCATCAAACATAAGGTAATAACTAACAATCAAGTAATCTAGTTTACATGTAATATGCACAACTTTCCACCCCATCCCTCTGATAACATCAATAACAACAGGATTTGTATCCCTTATAATGTTTGTTACATGAATCCCAACTCAAACTGTTTAGAATCCTTTACCTATATTACAATTTTCTTTTCCAGTCTATCTTTAAATCTTATCAGAGCCTACACCTTTATCAAGTATATATACACAAACTTCCACCCAAGTGATCATCAGCATCCATTTCATCTTCTTAAATTAGTTATCAATGCCAAATAAAAAATTAAATCTAGTTTTTACCCTTTGCCTTTGATAAAACGAAATAGAGAAGCACCAACTGCACATCAAACATAATAAAGTTAAAACAGAATGAAAAGGCTGCAGTAATTGACTGGCTAACGCATAATAGGAAAAAGAATAACAAAAAAGTACAGATTAAGTGGCTGAACCAGAGATCAGAAATCTGGTGGCAGATAGTGTAACAAACTTTCCACAAAAGCAACAAGTAATATCATTTCTCTCGCTTACATATTTGTAAATAAAAAATAAAAAGACCAGAAATAACTCAAGGTATAAACTGTTATTATAAAAGGGGGAAAAAGATAAAAGAAAAATATAAGAAAAGAAAAGAAAAGAAACCAAAAGGAAAGGAAAGGAAAAAAAGCACACAATATAACACCAGCATAGCCTTTAAGTTTTCACACCTAGTTAAATAAATAAATAAACTTTACCGCCACAGTAATATCATATATAGATTGAAACAACCTATTCAGCAACCGGGTATCACAAAAGGACAAATGGTACCGCAACATATAAGAGGTAAGATGAATAAATACCAGTTCACGTCTGCATAAAGTACAAGACCACCAAAGATGAGAACAACAAAAACTGAACAGAAAAATTATAGGCTTGCCTCAACAGAAATGGTGTGCTTTTCGGTGGAAACAGATAAGCTTTCATCTAGCACTTTGTTTTCAATATTGTACTGCAATGAACTAGATGTGATAGCTGATTCAGTTAATTCAGCCATAGTTTCAGCAGCTGCCTCCATAACACGGTCATTTGTAATAGTGCTAGATTCACTACAGCCCACTGTATGAACATCTCCTCTGTCTTCTGACTCAACCATTACATCCTTTACCGAGCCTTCTGTAAAAACAAACAGTATTAGGTCAGATAACCACCTCCCCCTATTGCCCTTAAGAAGGGGCATAAAGTATTCATATTTATAATGGAGAGATACTATAGAACTTCATGTGCTTATCAATTATTAATTATAGGAAATATATAAAATTCAAATTCTTCACAAACTTATGAACCTGGAAAAACATCATCATAATCTTAATATCAGGCAGAAGTAATGAGGACATCTGTTCTATCACACTGCAAATAATGTTATGTAATATGGATGTGTGTTTGTAATTTTTTGGAGTTAAGTGATTGTTAGCCAGTAGTAGGCCAACCGCCATGGCTATACAAGTGAGGGAAGGAGGTGTTCTGTATTCAGGTTGATGGTTAATAATGGAAATTTTTTCTTTTCCTCTCCTATTTCCTCTCTCATCCCCACTTCTTTCTTCTTATATCAGAATATTGCCCTTAGCTTATGATAAGGTAAACAAATAATAGATTTCAGGAGACAACTGAAAGTTTCATATTGTTCCACAACGGGGAGAAAACAAACCTTCATAAGAACTGGAGCAAGAGACTGGTCTCCACACAAGATTTGTACTTTTATGTTTCTTGCCATGACCTTCAATCACCAGTCTCTTCTTTCTAGCTTGCATAGTTGAATTATGGTTTAAGCAATGATAACTTCTCTGATCCTTACAAAAAAATAATAACAAATTTAAGCTTATAGCAAGCTTGAATCCTTCTAAATAGCTTATAACAGTCAACAATGTAATTGTGCTTAGTTTGTGAATTGCATTATTTCAATGCGCATATGGGCAGAATCTGTACTTCAGTATTTTCAAATAAAAGCAACGGTGCTACCTCAAACTCATTCCTCAAATTTCAACTAGTAAGGTTAATATTAACACTTCATACAAAAAACGGAAGCGATGAAGAACCTTATTGCAAAGGATTAATAATTATAAATGAACAACGTCCGCAGTGTAACACAATAGTTAAAGCTTTGAACCTGAAAGCATCCTACAGGTTTCGGTGCAATATATGTAGTAGTGAATTTTAAAACTCGATCAACTCTGCAAAAAAGGCCGAGTAAAATCACGTCACTACTACCACCCCATGAGGGGGAAGTGGTAAATTAATTATAGTTCTTCAAAGAAGCTGAACAACGCAACACCAGAAGGAAGAACACAGCTAGGTGAACAAAATGGTCGATGGGGAATCCGAAAGAATTCCATTAACAGTTTTACAATCGCAAGAGCTGAACAATGAATAGACTGATAAACGGAAAGAAATCGAAATATCTTATTGGATGGTAACTAACATAAAAGAATTGTGGCTGATGACTTCAAAGTGAACATGGTGTATTAGCTAAGACGTGAATATGGATAGCAAAAAAGAGTTCTAGTTTGCCTTTGGGTTTTTCCCAGCTGAGCAGAGCAAAGAGATTCCATATGACATACCTGAAGAAGGACCTGCAAAGGATCATTCGCCCTTCCGCAGTCTTTTCCCGTTTCTTTACCTAAACTAGAGCAATTGAACGGCTTTGGGTTTGTTTGGAGGGTGAAATTTCTTGCCCAGATTAATTTTCCTCAAAATCATGGAAAACATAACTTTTAATTTTTAAATTCTCTTTTAATTATTGATCTTTTTTAAATTTTATTCTACACAGTTCAGTTTTTTATAATTTATTAAGTTAAGGTGTCATGAAAATTGAATTGCATCCAGTCAAAAAAAAATTATACAAATTGAGTTATTTTAAATTAAAATTGAGGAATTAAATTGGTAGCAGAATAATATTTAAGGACAAAAATTATATTTTTCTCTTAAAACTAAATCTCATGATAATAAATTAAAATAAAAAACTGCAAGATAATACCTGAAATAATAACACTAATGAATAATGAATAGTTTTTGAGCAAATGAATAATGACTAGTTGACTACTATTTTAGATAGAGTTTTATCGCCACGCAGTCTACTTTGAGTTTTAATTTTAATTGATTGATGAGTTCACAGCTTGACGTTTATTTGCCTCCAGAAATTGAGTCTGTTTTTTTGGAACTTTTTTCTTTTTTCTCTTTGCTGATGGATGTTGGCAAAATTGGTCTCCTTGAGACATTGGAAATTAGACCATTGAATTTGACGTTCATAGGTTCAGTGCCATGATTTTGATGACGAAGGCTACAGTGAGTTGCAATAAATTTCAGTGTAAAAGCATATGCGTCAATATGTATACACACACACAACTTTTATTGAGTGAAAGGGAAATTTTCATTAAATGAAGTAAACAAATTGGGGTCCAAGCTGTACGAGTGGGAAAGAATAAAGGATAGGGGAATAAAAATATTTACTAAGTGATCAATTAAAGATATTCAGTACCTTAAAGTAAAAAAAAGATAAAAATATTTATAATATTATATAAATGAGTGCAAAAGTGATCAAACCATTAACTTTAACTATTAAATATTAATTGTGCATGTCACATATTAGTATTTGCTGACGTGGATTAATAAAGGGCAAAAATATTCATAAAGTTTTTAGTTAAAAGTAAAAATACCCATAACTTTATCAAAATTAGTGTAAAAGTAACCAATCTATCAAATATTTTAAATGTTAATCGTTTAGCTGATATTTAAGCAAAAATTGACCATTTTTTTGTTGGCATGCACAAAAAATATTTCTAGATGAAATTATTTGGAGGTTAATCGATCATTGTATGAATATCATGTGAAAAAATATCGCTTTGATCAAATATCAAATTAAATCGCATGTTTTTTGTAGCAATGGCTAAAATCATTTGAAAATTTTGAATATATTATGAATAAAATTGTTTAAGGTTGTAACAATGTTCTTAAGGTATGGCAGCATATGAGGTGTGTTTAGTCTCGGTTTTTGATTGTGTACAACTTATCTCACTATGTTGAATCTCAGGTTTTGCAGACAAGAAAAATAAGTAGGGAGGGAGGGAGGAGGAAGGCAAGATACATGGCGATGAAAAGAAACCATGTGACATAAATTTTGATGGACTGATCACTGTTACACCTACAAAAGTAATATTATGGGCACTCATACAATTATTGATTAACATTCATAAAAATTTATCTGAGAATATTTTTTTTGTCTACATTAGCAAAAAAATAGTCAACTTCTGCTTAAATATTAACTAAACGGTCAACATTTAATAAATTTGATAAATTGATCACTTTTGCATCAACTCTGATAACTTTATGAGTACTTTTGCTCATGGCCGATAACTTTGTGAATATTTTTGCCTCTTTATTAGTTCACATTGATAAAAACAGACACGTGACATGCATAGTCAGCATTTAACGATCAAAATTAATGATATTAAATCAAAATTAATGGTTTAATCACTTCTACACCCAATCATATAATGTTATGTTGCCATTTTCTTCATTTTAGGATAATAGGTGCCTTTGACTAGTCACTTTATAAGTATTTTTATCCTTTTACCTAAGAATAAAACTGCAGCAAAGTGGAAGAAAAAAAACAAACAATTACATCATAGATGAGAAACGATTGAACGTTTTGATGGCATGATCAACAATGGTACGAGCTTGGCATAAAACACCATCTAGAGTGCAGGGTTCATCGGCAAAAATTCTAAGGTTTCTGGCTTCCCATATTTCAAAGCATAAGACACTAGCCCTAATTTTTCAAGACACATCAATCCTCTTAGTAAGAGTTTGGAAAACTAGATATCCGGATTAATCCCATAAAAATCAAGACACATATCCATTGGCAAAACTTTTTTTCTAGACTACAGCAACAAGTGGACAATTCTTAAATGTATGCTTAATGGACTCTTCAGATCCAAGACACAAGGAGCAAGATTGGTCTGATGACACATTGCTTTTATAACACTCAACACTAGTAAGTACTTTACCTTTGAGAAGTAGCCACATAAAAGTTCTAACTCTTTGTGCTTGTGGCAATTTAATTAAGAATGTACTATCTTCGTCTCTTCAAAAGCATTCGGATTCGTTTACGCACTTAGATAAAGATTTCAATGTTAGCCTGTGTGGTTTTATTAATTTTCGATGTTATTTGTTTATGTTGAGGATAAAAACCATGGTCCTTAAAAATAACTTTCCTTGAAGAAGATTTCCAGCATATATCTATCAAAATATTTGCTATTCCTACTATTATATTATAGTTCGCCTATTATTACTCCCTTCTATCTTTATTTCTAGACCCTTCTCTGTGGTTCTTGATAATATAAGACTTTTATAATTTTACCTTTAATATTAATTTCTTAATTTTCTTCGTTTTGATGTTTTCTAACAAACTAAACATTTTTTTTCTAATTAATATATTTTATTGTAGGCATTTTGAAAAATTGTGAACAGGTAAAATTAGAAGAAAACATAATTAATAATACATTTTTACGTTTAAAAATGATCATAAATTAATTTGCAAGTAACATAGTATATTTTAGACTAATACTAATAAATTTTGGTACCATTTAAACTAGGATTAAATTCCTAAACTATACGCAAAAAGTTACAAATTACTCTAAACTCAAATATAAGTTAATTCTATTCCTTAACTTTAAAAATTTTCTTTCTCATCAACCTGTCATTTTCTTATCATTAGTTGACCTTTAACAGGCCTGCATTATTTTAAATATTTAAGTTGAAGGTGTCCACTGACCTCTTTGAATAAAAGTTGAACACCAAAATGATCCTTAACTGATAAAAAATATTAAAAAAAAGTGAAACTCACTGAAAATTAACGGATATTTAGTGTTTTTAATGTTAGAATAATAACAATGAAAATTTTTAAAGTTAAAAAATAAAATTGATCCATCGTTAAGCTTATGATCATTTATGATTTTTTGTATACAGTTTAGGAATAAAAATGAGGTAAAAATTTATTTTTGCCTTTAAAGTATCTCAATAACCTAAATTTTTTGTCGTAACATTTTTTCCCTTTTAAAATATTTAAAGATAACAACTTTACCTTCACCATTTAAAAGTTTATAACGTCTATTAAGTCTATTAAATCAATATACTGGGACTCACAAGCTACATGTGTGTCTTTCAATTTTTCTTTTTACTCTTATTATGTTTTTTCCCTCACTCTAGCTGACTTTCCATCTACATAAAACCATGTAATCATTATATTCATTCTCATACATGATTAGATTTGAAGTGCAAAATTGAACAACAACAAATCGAACAATTCAATCTCAAATCATAGATTCAATCAACAAACCTGATCATTAAAAAAATCCCAAAAAACCAAACATAAAAAGATCAACAATCTCTCTCAAACAACAGCCTCACAATCTTGTGGGTATCATTGTAGGCATCACGAATCAAAGTTAATGCATCAAGCGAGTCACTTCTAATCTTTTCCCTTTTGCAATCTTTGTTCCACAGCTAAAAGCATCAATGGGTGAAGTGATCTCAAGTTGAAAGCTGAAGCTAAAATGGAAACACAACTCCGATGATACTCAAATTGAGAAAAAAAGAAAGCTTGAAATTTCCAAACAATTAAACTAGCACATTCTTTCAGCCTTATGAAATTTCTTAGACTACTTTGAACAAAAACCCAAATTTGGAAACATTCAAAATCAAATATTAAGAGTTGAATTGCAAATTTTGATGGAAAACCCAAAAAAGCAAACAAGAAAAATCCCCAGAACTTTTTGCAAAAACAAAGCAAACCTGGCATAGGGGAAGAAGATTTGCATACTTTACTTTTGAAGGAACATAGAATCGAGACTTACTAATGGTTTGTTTCATTTAAAGCTTTGAGATTGCCACCCAGAGTTGTATCTTGCTCATCTTCGCTTATCTGTGTTAGAGCTTGCATTTTTACCATCCAGATTGCTTTCGCGTTTGATTTTGAAAACATCGTCGAACAGATTTTCATAGTCACAAAGCTCCACAGCAATCGATTTTGAAGTCATTGTCCTTTGATTTTGCAATCACCTTCTCGTTCTAGATCTCCACCTCCATACACACCCTGCCTTTACCGCAAATCTAGGTTTCGAGAGAAACAAGAGGAAATCGATTTTGCCTCCTTGAGTTTCCATATATGGGTTCAGAGAGAAATCGCGCAAATCAACTAGGGAGAGAATGAGTCTGGGTGGGTATTTCTGGAAATAAAATAATAAATAACTACATAAATTTATGTAATTTAGGTTTTCTAACAGGATAAGACTTGCTGCTGTGTTGTTGTAGATTTTCTTAAAGTTGTCAGCATCATGATTATGATTATGATTATTTTTAAACCATGTCCTATAAATGATATGCTGCTTGATACACAATTGATCTCTTTTATAAAATAATTAATAATAATTAATTTCACATTTTCCCGTTTATATCTATTATTTATGTGTTATAATTTATAAATAATATAATATAATAATATAATTTATTATTAACTTTATATAAATAACCATGCATGAAAATTGAAATAAACGTGTTTGATGATGCGACAACAAAGTGTAAAGGGACAGGAAGAGGGAAAGGGACATCTTGTTACCAAATACAAAAATAGCCGTAAGTTACTGACATTGGCCAGTGGAAGCTACATTACAATATTAAGCATGTAACACGTGATGCCAAAAGTTAAAAATGGATGTTGAAAATATCATAGATGAATATTTAATTTATTAATACTCATTGGAAAAATATAAAAAAATAAGTGTTTAAAAATTTAAAAACTGGGTGCTAGAATATATAGTATATAATTATTTATATTATTAATATCAATCCATACATAATTCATATTTGTCTCTGTTAAGACTTAAGAAATTTGCCAACAAAGATAAAAGCTTGGGAAAAAGTATTCCCAATAACTAAATTTAGAAATTATTTATTTTCAAATATCCAAATTTATTAAGCTAAAATATATATTTAATTATTTAACTTTATACAATGTTTCATTTTAGTTCATTAATTTTATAAAATATATTTTTAGTCCTTTAACCCTAATATTATTAGTTTTATCTCAATAAATTTTTACATTGAACTTTTAATATTGACAAAACATTCTCAAATATTAACATATTAAGTTTAATTTTTTAAAATGATAATTACTGATACAAAAAAAATTATTTGAAACTAACAATGTTAAGATTAAAGAACTAAAAAGATACTTTACAAAATTAAAGGATCAAATTAAAATTTTATATAAAATCAAAGGATTAAAAGTATAATTTAGCCAATTTATTATTAATAGAAACAAAATTTACCAATTAGATTATGAGTATCTATTAATAAAATAAATTTACAAGCAGTAAAACAATGAATATTAGTATTAGAAATATGAAATAAAAAAAAAACTCTGAATTCGGTCGTTAAAATTATTTTTTCTTGAAAAACCTTGTTTATATGGATGAAAATATTTGCTATTCCTAATATTATATAATAGTGCACCTATTTAATTATTACTTCCATGTGTCCTTATTCTTAGGCCCTTCTCCATGGTTTTTGTTAATATAAGACTTTTTATCCAGAGGATATTTTTTTAATATCCTTTAATTTGTTTGATATTCTCTAACTAACTAATAAACAATTTCCTATAATTAATAAACTTAATTGAATGTAATTTTAAAAATTTAAAATCATATACTATTTAGCTAAATTTATTAATTTATATAAAGTTATTAATAAGTCTTTATAAGAAGAAGAAGGCGATGTACAACATTTAAGGTGTGTAGAATTATAATTTACCATTTGTTGATGGTGCACGAGTGTGACACAAAAAACAATATATTTGTGTGACTGCTTTTGGAGTTGTTGCAATTTAGCAATGTAGGAGGGTCAGTGACTTTCCACAAGTGTAAGAGTTGTTTTGTATAAATAATTAAATATCGGTGCATTTTCTTCAAACTTTATTGGTTTTGACGATAAATTTTCTCCATATAATTGTTCATGAAAATCCTGTTGGCTAATAGAAAGATTCCATTTGGCATCATATACACATCTATTGGATTAACTTTGTGTATTTTTAATTTATTACTTGCCCTACTATTTATGAAATACAATTTGACACAAACAAATACTTATATAATTAATTTAATAATGTTTTGTAAAAGTCATTGGCTTGCATTTCTTGTATTATATGCAATCTAACACTCAACCCAAACCACATGATATAATTTTGCAAAAGGATTGTCAAAGAATAATAAATCATTTGGGCTATTTGCAAAGTATCTGTCTCTTCATCATAAAGAGGAGATCAAAGAATACAAATTACGTGTATTATATTATTCACTAAGGTTGATAATGTGTACAAGTGGTTGAAGCCTTTGTATCTCTCATTGATGTTATGCTGACCTTTTGTGATACAAAATTTTGAGTGCTTACCTGCTATAAAATGTGTACAAGTGAAGGCCTCTAATATATACAAGTGAAACCTCCTCATTGGTTATAGCTAGCCAACTTGCAAAAATGTTACACATAAATGAAAGTAGCCAAGATACCAACAATTTCTTTCTTATTATTTGTAGAAAAGTCATAATCATAATATGCTTTGAAATTCCATGATATACAATGAATTGAAATTGGTATTGGACTCAAAGTGGTTCATTCCTCCAGAAACGTCCCTTTGGGAGATGTATTGAGCTCTATGTTTGATGGAAAATCAATATTGATTGATATTTGATGTGTTAATTATTGATAAAAATCAAAACTGTTAATCATATGGCTAGCGAAAATTCATGTTACACTTGATCTATTGTTTTAAACTCGGACAAAAGTTTGGAAAAATATGGACCTAAGGTCTTGTCGCTTCCTTTGCAGAATAGTTACTTTCAACAATGATAATAATTTGATTTATTCTTATATGAGGAATTGCAAGTTGATAACTGAGACACGGCTATATTTAGCAGTTTATATAAAAATCTGATATTAAACTTTTTTGAGTTTCATTTAGTGGAAATTAAGATTAATATTAGCTTTGTTCCTTTGTGAGACTTTTTTTTAACTTGCAAAAATTTAACATTGTGGAGCTATTTTTTATGGAAATAGTAGATAATGTTTGGAAGCATTGGGCACAATACATTAGTTATATATATGTATATATACATGAATTTAAATATATAACACGTTTTTATATATAGGTTTGTAAATAAAAGATAAATCATAATTTTTTTTTAAAATTACAATTAAGGGAACAGTCGTTGTAATCCATGCCCAAATAAATTATGATATTTATTCCCTTAAGGAACAGTCACTGTGACATACTTGGCTATGATATATTTCGCCATAATTCATGCCCAAATGGTTTATGGCGTCTGTTGCCTCAAGGAATGCACACCATAATTCTACCATATTACCACCATTGTTATATTTTTATTTGCTGTGAAAATTAACTATTATTATTACACTTATTTTTACTACACTACATGACTGCATGTACACTCGCGAAAATTAGATTTATGCACTAGTGAAAGCATATTTAAATTTCTGTAAAACTTAATGCTCCATAATTAAGTGCATATTTGGGTATTTTACTTTCCATTTTTGTAACTTCTAAAAAATGAAAGATGATTGGTTAGGCTTTTATTTCTAAATATACATTCTAAAAATTCATTCATATGAGCACCAAAAGTCCTTTTCCAAAAAATTAGGGAGAGTTACTTGGGAGTTAAAAAATTTAACCACCTCTTTTTCCATGTTGCCACTTGTTAATATTTTTTTAAAATGCAGATAAAATATTTATAATTATTTTTTTAACATATCAATTTTTTATTATTTATACTTTGTTATTAGTTAAAATATCAAATTTTATATTATTAAAAATTTGTCATTTTTAGTAATTATATATTTAAAAATACTTTCCATCATATATTATCCAAATAATTTTTAATTTACTAAATTAAATTTTTGAAAAAAAATTCAAACACAAATCTCATCACAATAAGTAACTTTTACCAAACTGATTTTTGCTAAATGCATTTTTGATGAATAAATTTTTGTCAAACTGAAATTCAAATGTACCTCGAGTCCTTCCAATCGGCTCTCATGTACTAACTATGTCATAAGGAAAATAGCAAATAAAAACGTTGAGATGTTTGATGTTTAAGATTATGTCATTTTTTGAGAAATAAATTTCACAAAACTTTATGTTAATTAAAAAAAAAAGACTTGGATCAATTTGAATTCATATGGGTTTTGAATGTATCAAGACAAAAAAAATCAACGAAGCATATCATGATCAAGACAGTCACAATACGGTAAACAAGTCACAGTACATCACTATAAACAGATGTCAATCCAAATGCTCAGTCTATAATTTATATTTATTGCTATACTTCAAATTATCTGAAAATTGAATGATGTTATATGTATTGTTAACCTGAAAGAAAGCTAGAGAACGTAAATTATATGCTTTGTTCACTAAGAAAAGATGTAGAAGTTATGCATATAATACATGCATGATGCAAATAGGTTGAGAGGGTAAAATAATCGAGTGATAGTATATCCAACACAATCCTAACGATATAGAAAACTATATAATAGATTTATTATATATATATATATATATATATATATAACAACTATTCATTGATCATCTTATGAATATGTTAAAATGTGAATCAAGATGTAGTTTATTAGAATAACAAAGTAATGACACAATACTTCCTATCATACTTATAGCAAATTATTATAATTATAGTTTTGAAGAAAAAAACTATTATCGACAACACTTGAAAAAAAGGTAACCAAACAAAAATGATAATTTATCAATACACTTGTAATTAATGACACTTTTAAAAATCATTATTATCTATAATCTTGCTTGTTTAACTCCAATCCAAACAGGCACTATATTGATTCATTCAATTTTTTAATCTACATCATTATTTCATATTAACTAATAACATGAGATAAAACTTCGTGCTAGTTTCACGGGAGGGGGGGGAACTTCACGCTGGTTTTTCAAAAATAGTATATTTCTAATTAATTTTTCTGGTATGAAATTATTTTATTAATTGCATTTTCGTATAATCTATTTTTTATATGAGCTTTTTCGTAATTTGATGTAAATAAAAGGATGGTTATCAACAACGTTTTAATTTATTGAATTAAAAAATGATTTTATGATTAATAACAATTTTATTTGCAATAAATTAAATTAAAATTTTTTATCCAAACATATCTGAATCTATATATATCTACTCTATATATTTATATATAACTAATTTTGTATACCTTCAAAATTTTATCTCGTTACCTATAAAATCTTATTATATTTAAAATTAGGATAGAAGCTGATATTTTTTTTTACTTTTAGATTTTTTTTTGCTTATTCATCCAATTAAAACACAGATCAAGTTAAGAGCCAAATACATAAATTAGTTAAACTGACTTTTTATAACTGAATTTTGTCCTGATTTCATTTCAGTTTTACATATTTTAACGCATGCGCCCGCTTAATTAGAAAGCTTTAAGGCGGCTTGACAAAAATCGCATGTTTGCAAAAAAAAATAATTTTATTTTCGTTTTCCCAAATGATTGTTGTGATATAAATGAATTCGTTTTAAATTATTCTGTACATTTTTTCATACAACCCGAAATTAAAAATTTTAATTATTTAAGTCTAAAAAATAATAATAATAAGTCACTCACCGAGCGAAAGGAAAAAAATAAAAATGCGCGGGCGATTGCTAACGTACGCGGGTAGCGAAGAGTAAATCTTCGTCATTAACCACGCGGATCGGTGGTCGCGCAATGACATGGCATCTCCTTTCTGATCTTTGATGCCAGAAATCGTTCGTTCTCGCTCTCACCCTAACCCCCCTCAATCATCTTCCTCTGTGCCCCTCGTCAAGCTCTTACTTTGATCCTTGTAGCACAGCCCCGAAATCCTCTAGTCCTATTCGTATCACTGTATAAAAAATTTCAATAATTAATCTCTTTCGCGAGACCACGAAGTTTCTACCTTGTCATCGATCTGTCGCTGTTGATTATCCTTCTTATAGAGTCTGTGTTGCATGTATCCTGAGAATACCATTGTTCGCTGGTAAATTAGGGGGCCTCTCATCTTAATTGAGGCCTTTGGATTCTGGGGTTGTGTTTCAATTTTGTTTAGTAGGTTTTGTGATCATCGGGCGAGCTTTGTTCGTCCAGTTTAGGAAATAATGGAATCAAGTCGAAGAGCTGTGGAATCTTACTGGAGGTCGCGGTTGATCGATTCTGCTACATCGGATGAAGATAAAGTCACTCCGGTGTATAAATTAGAAGAGGTTTGCGAACTTTTGCGGTCTTCGCATGTTAGTATTGTGAAGGAATTGTCGGAGTTCATCTTAAAACGACTGGAGCATAAGAGCCCAATTGTAAAACAGAAGGTATGGTTGTTGTTTTCATTGTTTTTCCTTGCTCAACTTGCACGAAATGGATCTGGGTCGTTGAGAGTTAGACATCCAATGGGGAGTTCTGTTATAGTCGATCAAGTTTTGAATTGGAAAAATCGCGGCCTTTCAAATTTCTGTTTTATGTTGCTTTCTTATCTCGGTCAAAAGAAATAGGTTGAATCGCCTTCGCTGGGAAAATATAAGATTAAGTTGCAAATTGAGTAATGTGATAGCGAAAATGCAGATTTTTTTTTTTTCTTTCCTTTTTACGATCTTCTCTATTGCGTCCTGTGATGAAATTATATGTAAGCATATTTTTCTTTTCAACTTGCATTTTTGCCTTGGCCTTTTTGAATGGTATGTTTAATAGTTAATCTCATTATGCTGCATTTATCTGTTCATGTTTGCAGGCTTTAAGATTGATAAAATATGCAGTTGTGAAGTCTGGTGTTGAGTTCAGGAGGGAAATGCAGAGACATTCAGTCGCAATTCGTCAGTTGCTTCACCACAAGGGACAACCGGATCCATTGAAAGGTGATGCACTAAATAAGGCAGTGCAGGACACTGCTCAAGAGGCCATCTCTGCCATCTTTTCTGCAGAAGACAGTAAGCCAACACCTGCTGAAGATCTTAACAGGCGGATACAAGGGTTTGGGAATACAAACTTTGAAGTATCATCAGAAGATAAGAAATCCTTTCTCAGTGAGGTAGTTGGTATTGGAAGTGCATCAATCAAGCAAGGACTTAGTAACTTAGCACAGGGACATTCAATTATGAAGAATGAAACTGGAACCTACAAGAGTCCAAATCTTCGAAGGTCATTAACTATGGAAACAGAAGATAGTGGCAGATATGAACCAGTTACATATATCAATGAAACTCAAGGTAGTTTTGGACACTCAAAGAATCAATCTAGTGGCTCTTGGAACCCGGACTCAAGAGTGGTTAAGATGGAAGCATTGAATGGTGATTCCAATGCAAACCATTCAGGGAGTAAGACACGAGAGGACAGGCTGCTGGAGACAATTGTAACCTCAGGAGGTGTTCGCCTACAGCCCACTCGAGATGCCCTTCAAGTTTTCCTAACAGAGGCTGTGAAGTTGGATGCCCTGTCTTTAAGTCACGCCCTCGAAATAAAGCTTCAGTCTCCAATGTGGCAGGCATGTCTTTTCAAAGTTTACAATGATCTTTCTGTACAAAAAGAAAGAAAGAAAAACACATGCATGAACATGCATGCCATATCTATTTCTAAAGCACATTCTTGTATCTACAAATTGAGTATTTCATATATTTTGAAGGGTTTTTTAGGGATCACAGGATGATGAACTTTTCATCGCTCTTCTAGCTTAAAAATATCATAAGTTTGAAGGGCTTATGTTTGCATATCTACATGGAAATATAGGACCATGCATACACGTTTAACTGAAAACCTTCTGCCATGAATTGTTAATTATCACTTATGTTGAATATTGCCATGTTGCATCTATGCTAATGCAACTTTATACATTAATAGAGAGCTGTAAAAACTTCTATGCAAGTGACATGTCTTTTCAACTTCGCTTGAAAATTACATTTATAGGTTCGCATGAAAGCTGTCTGTGTCCTTGAAGCCATCCTTAGGAAAAGGGATGATGTTACTTTTTCACGTATAGCATCATACTTCACTGAAAATAAAGATGTGGTTGTGAGATGCTCGGAATCTCCCCAAGCTTCACTGAGGGAAAAGGCTAACAAGGTACTCTTATAATTGATCTGTACACATAATTTCCACATGAAATTTCATCTTCTCATTCATCTTGACACTTAAATTTTAAACCAATCTATCATTGCTTGCTTGCTTTCATGTGCTTGGACGAGCATTTTTCTAGACATGTTGTCAATTCTTACCAATGCTACTATAGATGGACTTGTTGGTTGAACATTTCCGGATCTCATTGGTAAACTGCTAATTTCCTGCCAGGAAAGTGCTGAAGATTGATTGTTGAATAGTGAAATAAGCCTCTCATTTGAGATAACATTACTCGGAGAGAATTATGATGATAGGTGTCGTTTTAAAATGTTGGGTGGAATATAATATAATGCCTAAAGATCCAACTTCCAAACAGAGGGGTTTATACTTTTTTCTCATAATTTCTATAGCTGGGGCTTGAACTTGCTATTAATTCTAAATTTTCCCCTTTTCTAAGTTAGCAATTTCCTCTTCCTTCTGTGCAATCATGTGTTTTTGTCTTTGGATTTGGGGTGATGACTTTCTCGTAGTATGTGCCGTTCACACACATCTTCATATATTAGAACTTTAGTCGTCATTAATTCTCGGTGATTGTCTTACTCAAAGCTGCCATTCTCCTGAAGGCTTTGGAAAATGTTCTGATTATGTAACTCTCATATTAATTGAAAATAATTCGTCTGTAAAATATAAGGTTGCAGTTATTTATGGAAATATGGAAACCAGAAAGCATCTTAGGTTGTCTTAATCTTGTATAGTATGAAGCTCTTTCTTTTCTTGGCAAAGTTTTCTTGAGGTAAAAAGAAGTTACCCATATCAAATAGCCGTTTAATGTAAGTATCATTTGCAATTGTTTAAAGAATGATAATGTCTTGCACTCTTTCTATATGGAAGCAGATAAGTTCAATAGAATTCTCTAAAGTGCAAAATTACATTTTGTAATTTTATTCCCTTCCTGGCCCCTTGATGGACAGGTTATTGGTCTTCTTGGTGGAGATCAGCCAAACAGCTCTCCATTTATTTCAGAGAAGCCTGTGAAGGCAGAGGCTGCTAATGTTGTTGAGCTTCCCAACTTGATAGACACTGATGATTCCGATGAGAATCTTGGAGGGGACAATTTTACGAAGACTACAGATGATCAGAATGTATCAAACTTGGCACCATCCACACCTTTAGTTGATGATTTATTTGGAGATTTCAATGGTTCTATTGAATCTAGTATTGAACAGAAAAATGATGATGACCCCTTCGCTGATGTATCATTTCATACCAATGAAAATAAAGGACAAGCAGATGATCTCTTCTCAGGGATGACTATTGGTGATAAACAGAGTGATAATCTGATTCATGGGCTGGAAAGTATTAGTGAGCCAGAAACTTTTGACATTTTTGCTTCCGATTCCACTCAAGCAAGTCATGAGCATGTTAGTGATTTGATGGCTGGGCTGTCTGTTAATGAGAATACATCAAGTACAAAGCAGAAAACAATATCTTCTGTCTCACAGTCGGAATCTTTATTGGCAGGTTTGAATAATCAGTTTGGCCATCAGGCCCCTGGTCATGACTCAGGCAACATGTTGAACTCTCAAGCAGTTGGGTTCAACGCAAATCCCATGTTTCCTACTGGCCATTTGCCTTATAATGTACAGCCTGGTATTATGTTGAGCCACACTTATCCGTCTCAACCACTTAATTATAGCGCCATGGGAAGTCTTTTAGCTCAGCAGCAGTTCCTGGCAACCATGGCTAATTTCCAACACCTTGGTAATGTAAGCATGCAAGATGCAGGTGTTGCTCAGATTGCTGGAACCGATGGAAGAATGCCGATGCCAGACATATTCCAATCAAATTTTCCTACTCAAACTCCTACCTCAATGATTAGCAGTTCGAAGAAAGAAGACACTAAAGCTTTTGATTTCATCTCGGTAAGTCTCAGCATAGATGTCTAATCCGTACCTCCCATCAATTTTAGGATTGTGGTTATCTGCTGGAAATCTGTGCTCTACAGGATCCTAATTTTGTTTTTTCTATTGGGTTTTGCAATTTGAATGAAAATTTGGTCATCTCGAAATTGTGATTAATCTCCAGAAATCAGCCACTTGATTATGCAAGCCTACTATGCTGAAAAATATGCATTGCCAGAAACCTATGATTTCATTTTTTCCCCCTTTACATTTTAACAATATTTTTATAAAATATTAAATTGAACTATTGACTGCAGATTTGATGATTTAAATATGTGAACGAGATAGAAAGCGCACTAAAGAAAAACTGTTCTCTAGTAGCTTGAATAACTAACATTTTCATGTCTTGGTGATTACTTGGCTTGCTTGCTTTACTTGGTGGATTAGGTTATTCGAGTTTTCAATGAAAATAAACCATAGCATGTGATAAACTTGATTATTATATTATCAATTCATTCCTTATCTATTTTTTGGTTGGTTCGCCTGATTACATTGTTTCATTCTTGTAGGACCATATTGCTGCAACTCGTGATACTAGGAAAGTGATTTGAATTTGAAAGGCTATGCTTTTGCGACGATGGACTTCTGTGGTTTTGTATTGTTGGATTTGATACGAATAGAGCGAGCGGTTTATGATTTCCCTAGAAATGTTGTGCAGTTAGTTGAGCTATTGCAAGGTGCAATTCAGGCATGAATAGAAATACATGGTACTTGAGGGTGCTTCATTCACTATTTCTTGCTTCGAGAACAATAAGCATGGTTAATTTCGTTTAGCATGTCAGAAAAAAATTACGTTGTTCTGTCTCGCGCTGCTTATGATGTGGTTTGACTGTAGACCTGGGCATGAGTCAATGATTTAATTGTCTTTACCTGGTTTTATCTGCCACATCGGTGGTCTGGAATTTTTCTTTTTCCCCCCTTTTTAAGCTAAAGGAGATTCTATTAAAAATTTTACCTCTTGTCAAGTATTTTCAATATTTAAATTTAAATTTTTAAATTTTTCATCTAATGTAAGTAGGTATTGATCATTGAACTAATTAAGGAATTGGTTCAAGAATTAATGATAAATTATAATCAAATTATGATCAATTTGATCATGAATAGAGTATTATATTCAATTAGTTTAATGATTTATCAATTTAATGTTAATTATATATAAGTTTAATATTTAAATACTGCAAGATTTATTGATAACTTGATAAGGAAAAATGATGACACTTTATGTGAGAACTCAATGATTCTCCCAATTATAAAACTGTAGTTAACATAGACTAGGGATAACCCTTTTCAACATGTCTGATCTATTAATCAATTAGAGAAAATTAACTATCTCACGATGCTACAAGTCAATATTGGTCTTTACTAGTAAGATTTTCAGCAAGGAATTTTTGTGTGGTGCTTTTTCTTTCCTTCAAAGCGAGACAATCGAAACCAACCTTAAAAGCGTTGCCTCCTTTTAACAGGTTTGCCAGAACGAGAGGCATCCATAAACAAATGTTCAAAACAAAGACTATCCATGAAGCAAAAGATTTTGTCATCAAATGAGAGGAATAAATTCGTTGTGTAATTGGAAACTTGAGAGTTATCTATTGGATTACCTAATTTGATCCCTTTTTATTTACTATATGAAAGCATGAAAAAATTTTTCAGCTATTTGACCAAAAAAAAAAAAAAAAACTTTTTCAGCTACTTAGAACAGAGTGTTGAAGACAGCGAGGTTCAAATTTCCAATCTTGTTACCACCAATTCTAGGGTAATCAGAAAATTTACCCCTCCACATATTTTGCTGAATCATTCTTTGAACTTCCTTCCAACTACTGCTTTCCTTTATGCCACCAAAAAATGCTATCGCAATCAGCATTTGCTTATCACATAAACTATAAAAGAGGAAAATCCTCAAAATTATCATGGGTGAATCTTCTCAGGCTTCGACCATCAACCCTCAGTAATTTTTCCTCCAGGAGCTTCCGCATTACTTACCTTAAAACCAAGCTCAGCCAAGTCTTGCTTTGCCATCAAGTTCCTGCAAGATGCCAATTAAAGTTCATAAACAACTAACTTGTCATAAGAAAATCGTGTCAAAAGATACCTGAGAACAATATATACCCACTATATTAACGATAGCAATGTTGCAGATGTGCTTGTTGTAGCAATTAATCAAAGAATACATTCCACCAGTCTATTGCAAGTGAAATTCTTATAAACCATAGTGTACAACCAAGTTTGGAAGGAGACCATAGAACTCCTCAAAGTGTCTGTAGATCCTACCACCTAGACACACACTTTGATGAGTTTTCAGTCATTGAAAGGCCAATCTGTGCACATAATTGTTAAGTGTGAAAACAGAAAGAAAACAAGAATGGGAATGAAATAGATGAAAAATAACTCTTGTATCCCTACAATACATAATTAAAAAAACATATGTTGTCAAATAATGATAACAAGAACATGATAGATATTACATTAAAAAAAAAAAACCCTTTTTGTCCATTGCATATTTTCACTTTTGTCAAGCACTGACATTCATTTTAACAACTGTTCAGTGCACTTCAATTTCTTTTTTTTTGGGATAAAAACTGGATGGCTTTGTTAAAAAGATTATGTAGAAGGCTTCTCAGTCATCATTTTGCAACACATTATTAGGCTTGCGAAGAGATTCCATTTAACTTCAACATCAGATGCTAAACAGACAACAAAATTAGAGATGAGGCCGATAGCACTATTAGGACACATTAAAATCCTGGACACAAAAAAACCATGATATGTGATAAGGAGAAACCAACTCACTTTTCCATCCGACATTCCAGGTATTTTTTTGAGAATTGCCTGCATTTTTCTGACTTGTGACCAAAGGACTTTAGACAACTGAGATATTCCTTCTTCTCCTGAAATGACACCAATCAACAAGTTAAGCTAACTAAAAACTGAACTAAAAAATTCAAAAGCAACATGTTGGAATGTACAGTCTGAAACATTGGAACTTGCAAGGACGTGCTTCCCTCATATACAAACATTAACATAAAAAAACTTCAATCTTTTATCGAACACAGAGAAACACTACCAGGTCACATAAATGCATATGGTCCAATGGAAATATTCCTTTCTCAGGAGGCACTGGACGGAGTCCCCTGTTGCCACCAAATGCACCACCTATTACATAAGTTTGAAACAAGGGAAATGAGTGACAAAGCAAAGCGTCAAGAAATATGCATATGTATATTGATTTGGCAAATTAAAAGACCACACTTAAGGAAGTTACTGAACAAGATCCTAAAGTGAATAATATATCCAAACAATAAGTTACTGATGGAGCACAATGGTGTTTCATGTACTCAACCTTACTTAATGGGATACAACTTGTCAATGTTGCAAGCAATAAAAATACCGAAGGTCAACAATGATCACATGAAAATAGAACCAAAAAGATGAGATCAATCCTCTCCTTTCTGAGTTAATAGATTCTGACTGAAAAATTGAAAGCAACACCTTTTCTATAATCTCCATCAGGTTTTAAGTAACACAATGAGCAACATATAAAAGCTAAAAATAAAATAAAATACTCAGGCAACGAAAAATTAGACGACCCAGAAGTTTTAATGCAATTAAAGACTACTCAAGAATCCTTAGTTCATAATTCTTTCATCTGTATAACATTCTAAAAACATTTTAAACATTACTTTAAGCAGAACCCCTTCCAAAATCTCATTAACAGCTACATACATGTATTCAACCAGTAAGCCTGTTTCAGAAGAGAGCCACCTTGGTTATTTGCATCCATGCCATAGAATTATTAGGCATCATAAGTCAGTTATTAGTGCAGAGTTCAATTTGTAACAACCCCTTCTAAAGCAATAAACAAATCAATAAAAGTCTTTGAGAAATCAATCATCCATGAGCAGCAGCTTTAGAATAAATACCCCATTATTTAATATTCGTATTTCTGTTGGTGCGTGTGTAAGGCTACCAATTCGAACTCGAGAATTGGGAAGTGAAAGCACGACACTTAACCATCAAGCCAATATTCGTATTTCTATAAAAACCTAGAACCAAAAACCATGGAAGAGAAGTAAAACAATGTGTAACGCAAGATGACCTAATTCGCCCATCTCCCGTGCAAATCACGCTTCCGTTTGGCCGTATCGAAACGGAGTTGTCTGGCTAACTGAATCTGTTGAAAATTTGGTAAACGGTGGCCGGAACAACACTCCGGTGACTGGCAGTATCTATAGGCTTCGGACTTCGGAGCGAACGGGAAAGACTGAAATGAATTTATGATTATTGTCCGCACAGAAATGGCATTCTCTCCCCAAGCTTCCAAGGGTTTTGAGTTCAAACATGAAAACTATCACAAGAAAAAAAAAAAAAAACACAAACAGAGAAAATAAAATTTGGGAATAGGAGGTTAAACATTTAAGTGATAAGAATGAGGTGATATGATGATATACTAATTATAGTGTTTAAACTATTTTATATACTAAAAAAATAATTTAGTTTTCAATTATTAATATCAATCAATAAAAATTTAAATGCCCATCTATATCTATATTAACAATATAAATATTACTCAAATATATAGAACTTAAAGAAAGACATATGATGTGTAAGTTTAATAATATGACTCATTTTCAAATAAAATGAACCATTTAGTTGGTTTTACAATTGAATTACCTTTACCATTTTTATTGAAAATTTATATCTGAACATCTCAATTGTGTTGATCATCAAACTTAAGAGCTTTATATGATTTAGTTTTCTTATAATTTTTGAATTTCAATAGTCTATAATTTGTTCTTATTATTTATATTACATAGTTCTTTCAAGTGACAATATAAGTTATTATTGATTAATTTATATTTCTTAATAAGAGTCGGTTAGGATTTTGATGTTTTAAAAATTTAAACATCTTTTAATAGTACCTTTAAGAGTTATAAATATAACAATTGATTTATCTAAAATATCCTCATTAATTACTCAATAAAGTAATAGTGTAATTAAAAAAAATAAACACCTACTCAATTTTCTATATAATTAAAGAAAACACCTGAAAAAAAAATTAGGATCAGCCATAACTCCATTATAAAATATTTTTAAATAAATGGGATCCTAAAATATACTTAAGTTTGGAACCAGTAGTTAAGGCCCCTTTTAAAATACTTAGAATTAGAGTGATATTAGTTACGTAAATATGGCAAATTGTTTGAGTATTAAAAACAAGTTAAGGAGGAGTAAAAGAATTATTTTCACAATTCTAATATAATATGTTGTAGCCTTTGCACAGAGGTCCTTCCATTGCAGCCAAGTTGACCATCCACCGTGGCTGACACCCATTGTGTTATCTATTATGGCTAACAAAAACTTTTGCTATAGCCAATAAGACTTGATAGCACATAAAAGACATTATCTAGAATCCAACTTCTGGAGCATCTAACTTTTAGCTAAGATCTCAAATTAAAATGATTCAAGTATCCACACATAAATAATTCAATCAACTAGCTAACGACTTCGGTCTTATAACAATCCGACCTAAAAGGGACATTTTGAATACTCGAGGCTAAAAGTACTTATTTTCAATCAACATATCATATAATTGTCTAAAACTCTATCATAAAGCCATTAGCCTTCATAACCACTTTTAGTACATTCCACAATCATAAATAAACATGCTGAACACATACAAACATTATCAATCACCTAAAATTGTAAGCCTCACCTCCCAAGCATATTGTTAAATAGGAGATAGGTATATAAAACCTTTTTTTGATAACTTAAAATGAATCACACACTTGCTCAAATGACCCAATACCAAAAGCAAATTAAGCTAAAAACAAAAAATGCCTAAATCAACCTACTATACTATGTGCAAGTAAATGATAGATTAACATAAAATAACCCCTAATGTTGGCAATATAGACATTCAAATTACATGAAAATTTTGCTAGAGACTTTACACTCATATGTCTCTAGACCTTAGAGGCCTTCCTTTTGCTCCTAGCAAGATTATCTCTCGAAATCATTAAACTATAGGGAGTGAGGTATGAAATATTTGTAATAAAGACATATAAATTCAAGCACATGTAAGTGTGGTAATTAAAAGTGTGCAAGGTGGGTACGTCACAACTAATCACCATCAATTACTCAAGCATGTACATGAATCATATGTATTACACACGATCATGTATCCAACATTATTACTCTCCTCATATCTTCTGACTAAATTCATGGGCTACTATACAAGTAAGATTAATTAATGTGATCGAATTAGCCCCATTCTTCAATTTTAAGATATTACCGGCCAAAGGTTCTCACACTTATGTAAAATCTCTTAAATATCCTAAATACTTATCCATAACAATAACACTACCATGATAATTAAGGATTAACTACTCTACCACCCTTATCATAGTAGAAAGGAAATAATCACAATTAAAAAAAAGAGATAACCATAATAGAAAAGAAAAAAGACCCAAGTTGAAGTTCTACTATGGTTAATTGAATTAAACATATAATTTTATAACTTAAAATAAACAACAAATAGATCCTACAATTATTGAATAGATTATATCATGATAGATAGAATTAAAACCATTTTAATAGTTGTTCGTATATTAGAAAAGAATAAAACCTATAATTTATAAAATTAAATTTCACAACCCAATGGCATCCCAAGTTAAACAATTAAATCAAACCTTTCAAGGCCCAAAACAAATATAAATTAGAGTTTAAAAGTATGCAAAAGTATGGGATATCATTAGATTTGAAAACCAATTGAGAAAAAGGATAAAAAATGTTATTTAACATTTTTCAAAGTGTCCATCATGGCTAACACACATTTTGCTACAGCCTAACTTCCTCGCACAAGTATCATACATCACAACACAATACACAGGCACAAGTATAGCATTGTACTGTCACAAAACAATCCCAAGGGTGAACATTCCCATGCCCTAATTCTCCGTCTAACGTTCAATTGAGATAATTCAGATATCAATAGAAAACTTATTCAAACCACTAGCTAATGGCACCGATTTTATTTTCAACTAATTTCATATCATAAGGTTGCACACTAGAAACCACAGTAACCACATTTTCACTCTTTTAACCTTTTAGGATATTCAAAATCCAACCAATGTGCCAAAAGCCTAACAACACCCTTAGGCTATACTCAAGAGACTTAAGACAACCTATACAATACACCACATTAGTCAAATTCATTATAGAAAACCCCACATTTCATCAAAATCAAAAGAGACAAGTTTCAATACCATTTTCCATAACAAATAACTACATTCAGCAAAATGACCATATCTACATGTGTGCCGGTATATTAGGCCCTTTCAAAACAATCTCTAATATACAAGTCATAAAACTATGGCCTAACATACAACCTAAAATGCAACTTAATAAGCATGGTGTAGATATGATGGGAATGACATTCTAGTTGGCAATATCAATTACACATATATTAACAAAAAAAGGAGGCATGCAGTAGGATATTCATTCCTAAGCCTCATGTCCTTCCCTTTTGCCTTAACCGAGGCTAGCATCTATAATATGTTAAAGAAAATTAAGTAAAAACCATTTAGTAACCAAGAAAACTCTAATTCATACACATATAAGTCAAACCAATTAAGGCATGCATAGTGAACAATCAAACCATTCAAATTCACATTCCATGGTATGTACATATGTGTATGAATAATGCATGATCAAATACTCCTTGTAACCTTATTATAATTGTCGACTGAATCCATGAGCTAATAATTAAAAAAGAGTTGCGTTACCTAACCAAAGGTGCTACACTTACTCTTAAACCATAGATTCCTCTATTGTCCAATTCTTAGGGACCCGTAAAGCCCTACCTCACACCCAATCCAGGGTGATATTAAGGATTGAGGGTCTAGGTAGCTTATACTTAAACCTATTCCTAGGTAAGATTCAGAAAGACCTAACCCTAGACTAAATATCGAGGCTACCCATAATGTTGGTACAATCCATATGGATATGAAATATTACTAACTCTTCTTAGGGCGACCTCTTGCCCAATATGATCATGCCACATGATCTCATGCTCATGACAATTTATAAAAATATCATGCTTTTATAAAAATACAATTCACAAAGTTATAAATTATATAACTTCATCTACAAACATTTACAACCATACTTACATAATTTTTCAAATGATAGAAAATATCAAATTCAAACTTTAGAAACATGAATTGCTATTTAAGAAACTATAAAAAGCATAGTTCACATTCTCAAATAACCATAATCAATCCAACATGAAATAACACAAAGTAAAATTTTTCCTATTACTTCAAAATTGTGAGAGATTAAAAGTTACCAATTTACCAAAATTGCTTCCCAAGCTTAAATTGAGCTCAAATGGTGCTCCACAAGATTAATATATAATCCATAACAACAATAATCACTAATAATCAACAAATATACCACTTTCAATTCCTAATTATACATTTTATATACCAACATTTTGAACCACTAGCACAATTTCAAATCTAATGGGTTTATTAACTTTCATTAAATCTATTTAACTCTCAAAAACTTAAATAACAATTACTATAACATCTTACGATCCAATTTCTTCATCAAAGAGCCTAAGGTTTGTCTAAATCAAAGAAATTCAGATTGAATGACCCAACAATCAATACCCATTATTCTAGGAGCAAAATCTAACAAGTAATACCTTCATTTCATCCATTTTAGTTAGCTCATAAATTAACCTAAGGTTTAGATTTAAGATCAACATTCAAAATCCTAACCTCAAAATGCAGCTAAAAGGGAAGAGGAAAGATTTGGGAACTTACATCTAATGAATCCAAGATTTTAGACACCATAAATCGTTGAAAACTCATGCCCCAATAGAGCTCATCTTTCTCCTCTAACCTCTCTCTCTTTTTCTTTCATTTTTCTTTTGCATTTTTGGATATTTAAATCACATTTTGAACCTTCATCAAACAAAAATTATGAATTCTACTAATTTTTTCTCTATCGCCTATGGTCATACATGTCTGCCCCTAGTCAAACAAAAAAAAATTACAAATTCTACCTCTAATTTGGGTTTGATCCGAAGACTAAATTCTTCCTTCACAAATTACCGAGGTGTCATATTTGCCCGACCCACACCATCCCTTGTAGGAATCAATGATATTAAGTATAGTGCCAACCCATACCATCCCCTTTAAGTAATTATAATACTAAGCATATTTATTAATTAATATACATCAACCATTGAGCGCAACTCTTAGTAGAGTTTACACCAAGTGGATTTTCACATCACTCTACACTCACTTAGTAAACCCTCACCCATCAATGATCATGCAATTTATCACATACTCAATGATATATTATGATAATTAATATACTGAACTTGTATCAAGCTCATTCTCATGCTTATATTCATATAACCAAGTAATTATATCTATACTTGACATCCTACCACATATATCTAATCATTCACTATTATAACATGCTTGCATCCAAACATTGCTCCAAAATCATTCGTACAAGCAACTCATGCTCATAATAATACCTATCAAGCCATGTATCATACTCATTTTTCAATTAGCCAAATAATCATACTCATGCTTAACTAACCACAAAGCTACTTCCATATCAAACAATAATTTGAACATTAAACATGCATATCCTATACCTTGCAAATAGCAAACGTCAACAAGAATTTAACTCTCGATTATTTCAATTCTTGGGTTACCATCCTAAAAGTATAACTTAGAATCTAAAGGAGCCTCCAACAAAGCCCGAGTACTTCCAAAGTAATCAATATATATATTAGGATTAACAAACATTATTAATGACTAATTGTCTTTTATTAGCTCTTAATCACAATTAAGGCCTAAAACCTTCATTAATGGTATTAATTATAAACAACCCCATTTCTAGCTTCCATTAACTTATTTAACCCTCACAAGCTTAATAAACACTATTAACTCCCTCTATTAGCTTAATCTAGGTTATTTAGAGTTAAGGTTAACTCTAAACCCATCATTAATGACATTAAACACTGTCTTTAGCATTACCTGATGATTAGAAATGTAATAACTCTCATTAGACTTTATTGAAATCAAATGAAAGGGCAAAACTTGATCCTAGGTTCATACCTTCACTCCCTAACCCAAAAACTTCTTAGAAAAAGCATAGAGAGAGAAAAAAAGTGAGAATGGAAGCTTACCCAGCCAAAATATTGAAAGTCCTCAAACACTCTAAATAAACGCCAATATGGAACCCTAGAAAAACTCCTTTGAATCTTCCTCACCAACTTTCTATTTTCCTTTTATTTTTCTGTTTGAGTTCATGTATATGGAGTTTAAAATTTTATCACATCTACCGCAACACATAATGCTATCTATCATGACAAATGATTCAAAATGGATAGCCTTACTTAAGCCCAATAATTTAGGCTTAAGGAGGCTTGAAAACTTTCCAAGCTCTATTCTAAGTCACATAAAGGGTCCAATAGACCAAATTATCATCCATTCACTATAATTTAACTCCCAATAACCTTAATTAATTAAATAAACCCCTACATTATTTTAATTAATCCAAACATTAAATTTTAGGATGTTACACTTGGATCAATCAAAACTTTTAGAAAACAACTTATATTATGGTATAGAGAGAGTATATTGTAATTTCCCTAATCAAGAGAAGATGAATGTAGTATAATTTTTAATAAAAGGGTCAATTTTGTAAAACTAAAAAAATTATACTTTTGAAACGACTAAAAAAACAAAAATACAATTATATTTATACAACAACAAGCCTTTTATCCTACTAGGTAGGGTCGGCTACATGGATTGTAAGATGCTAATATGCTCTATCATTTATCAAGCTTTTAGGAATATTATTAATTAAGAAATCATATTTAATAACTTTCAAAAGTGTTTTTTTAAGCCTTCTACTACCTCTCTTAACAGGGCTCAAAGTTATATATTATTCTACTCTTCTCACTGATGCCTCCTGTGGTCTTCTTTATATATGTCCAAACCATCTTAAATAATTTTCTACCATTTTTTCTCAATAAGTACTACCCTTATTTTTTCACATATGTGCTTATTTTGAATTTTATTTTTACGTGTATGTCCGCACATCCATCATAACATTCTTATCTCTACTACTCCAACTTTATGCTCTTGATATCCCGTTAGAGTCCAGCATTCACTACGATATAACATAGCCGGTCTAATAGCAGTACGATAAAACTTTCTTTTAAGTTTATTAGGCACCTTATGGTCGCAAATAACTCCTTTAACTTTTCTCTAATTAAACCACCCAGCTTAAATCCTATGTGAAATATCCTACTGATTTCATCATCATTTTGAATAATGGCTTTCAAATATCTAAACTTTTTCACTTGAGGTATAATTTGATTTCTCAATTTCACTTCTAAATTATCATCGACTAGTCTCTTACTAAATTTACAATATAAATATTCTGTCTTACTCCTACTCAAATGAAAATCTTTCAACTCTAATGTCCTCCTCCATAATTCAAGTTTACAATTAACTTCTTCTCTTGTCTCTGCTACAAGAACTATATCATCTGCGAAGAGTATATAATTGAAAATTTTTCTTTAAATATGTTCCATCAAAATATTTAAGATCAAGTTAAACAGATAAGGATTCAATGATGATTTATGTCCAAAAAAAAAAACAAAAGGATATGTTAGTCTTTTGTGCATGGTACAAGACCTAAGAAATATATGATTTATGACTATGTCTTGTTAAATTTTTTATATCTTATTTTGATATATATCCTTTACAAGACATCCTCCGTAAAAAGTGAAGTAAATTAAATGTCAAATCAATCTAAAAATTATATCCTCTCTGAAATTATAAAATAACTTTAAAGAAATTTCATTATCCTAAAATATAAAATAATTTAAAAAAATAAGATTTCATTAATGATATTTTTTTTAATATTATCCTTCAAATGGAGAGAGATTTAAATGATATTATAATATAATAATTAAGCGTGTGAGGATATTTTTGAAAGTTTATAGCTTTGTTTTAAATGATATTATTATGTTTTATTGATATGGGTAATTTCATTTTAAATTGTTTTATAATTTGGGATAGAATGAGAATTGTTTTATGTTTTACTTCAAACATTACCAATCTTTTTTTCATTTTTTCCCCCAAAATTGCATGCAATTACTTGATTTTTTGAAATTGTAAGGATGTTACAAAGCGCCAAATTAGTGATTGTCTAGTTGGATATAAGGCCCATTTATTTAAGATTAAAAAAATATTATTTTATATTTGATGACACCAAAAAAGTGATTATGAGGTAGTTATTTTTAAATTTTATAATATCTTTATTGATTTTTATTTTAGAAAATTATTTATTATTTAATTATTTTAAAATTTTATGATATTTTCATATATCTTTCTTTTTAAAACATTCTCTCCTATATGCCACATCAAATTACTTTCTAAAGCTATTCAAAGCACCTTAGTAAAATAATTAAAAAAATATTTTTTTATTTTAATTATTTTCAAAAGTTTAAATAAATATCATAAAAACTCATATAATAGATTTGTTTCCCCAAGAAATAAGTGTTTTTTTATAAAATAAGTTGAAACAAACAAAATAACAAAAATAAATCTTATTCTACTAAACGAGGTTGGTTACATGAATTATATTACACTGTGGTGCAAGACCCATAATTAATCAAGTGAACAACACAAGAAGGAAGAACAATATAAAATTATCATTTACTTTGATGGTGTACAATCTACAGATACATTTGTTGCCTCTAATCTAAGGAGAAGTGTAAATGAGATCAAGCCCATTGTTCTACCCTCAGCACTTGACTAACTATATCCGGATTTTCTAAAGTAAAATCTGTATAGTGTTCAAAAATAAAAGAGAACAAAAGAAAATCGTAAAAAGAGAGAGAGAGAGAGAGAGAGAGAGAAGGAAAAAACACCAATATATACTTTTACTGCTTGTCTCCCTTCAACTTGGAAGACGATTCAAATTGGGAAGATTCAAATCAATCTCTAAATCCCCAAGAAGTGAGTGTGCTACCATGTCCATGCCAAATTGCAAGAGAAAAGGCATGAGCAACCAATAGATCTATAGCTAATCCTAATTGATTATATTTTGCATTAACATGTCTGTGAAGTAAGATTTGACACCGCAGAACAGTCAGCACTACGAGAAGAAGTATCAAGCGTTCTTAGCCTCTGCGAGTGGGGATGTTCAATGATCACTAGAACTGCATCTTCTGGGCTTTCATCACGGCAGGCAGAATTTGGCTGGTAAAACATATAAAAGTGTCTCAGCCGAAAGATATATCAGTGAAAGTTTAATATGAATACACACCAGCAAGCTCCTTTCGCGAACAGATTCTAAGAATGACGAGATTAAACTAATTAAAGTTCTTTTTTTTTTTAAGTTGTTATTAGACTTTTAAATAATAACACTATACATGAAAATTTTTACTTTATAGTTCACTGTTCACACAATATTATCGCCTCTTCAAAATAATTTCTTCACGAGACATAATTTATCGAATAGCTTAATAACAAATGCTAAAAATTGTACCTGAAATCAGTTTTTCAATTTTAAGGATACAAGATACTGTGAGAGTAAGTTTAGACTACTTACCACCCCAATGTGCCATTCATGACTACTAAAATCTTTAAAAGTAGCTGCATCCATTTCCTGCAACAACATGCTCTGTGTAGTCAGAATATGGTGCTACGCTATATGAACTAAATCTAAGATGGATCAATTCTTTATTTTAGAGCTCAAGATATGTGAACCAATCCTGCCTGTCCAAGCTACTAAGCGGTTACGTCAAAGACTCAAGATATATATCCAATGAAAAAGATGCTGGGGTGTTCAATAATCGTTTGCATCCATGAGACACAAGAAAAGCTACAATGTGATGAACTCTAATTTATCAGTGTTATGGTGGGACACTATCAAAAGGATGTACGATGAGTCCACAATCCATATTCTTCAAATACAGTTCAAGCATAGGTCATTAAGGCAGGAGAAGGAAGAATTGCAGATGAAAAATCAAGACAAAATTTAATGAATTACTAACAATTGTTCCTTAAGAAACAAGCTAATTCTACTAAGCAGAGACCGATTTTATCCTCATGATATGGTGCAAATTTAATTTTTGCATTAACGACTGCAACATATGAAGAACTTGTAACTTACAATACTGTATATGGGAGGCACCAAAATGTCGCCTCTGTACTTTGTGGCAGGCATAACAGAGAAGCGTGGCGCCAAGTCCTGTGACCTGAAAGTCCACCTGCAGATAAAGGATCAATGAAGAACAATTGAATGTTAGAAAATGGACTCATCAAAAAAATACGCAGTGAGGCTGTATTGTACGTAAAAGAAATTCATTAATTTATTGTTCTTGCATGGGAAAACATATTCACATACCCAATGTATGAAAAAATGCAGAATTGTGCCCACTCTCTGACTAATAACCGAAGGCAGTAATTCTCTGAAGAGTCATCCATGTTCATGTATATCTAGAAATCAAGCGGCTTTTTAAAATAAGATACTCATAAGTAAATTATCCATTTATAGTTAGAAAGTGAAGCCCAAACATAATACCACAGTTTCTGCCATAGCAACTATCTGCATTGCACCCTGAAATTTCCTGCACGCATGAAAGAAAATGTGTCCCCTATGAAGTATGATTTTTTGTCTTGTACGAAGTACTATGCTTAGTTATTTGTAAGACATCAGTAAGAAAAGTATTGATACACATTTTTCAGGTCCGTAACACTTACTTGAACATCATGTACTTTGTATACAAAGCATCATGCATTGTCCGAACATCCTCGTTTTCAACAATACTCAATTGTTCTCGCAACAACAATAGGTTTTGTGATATATGCCGGAAAATTACATAGAATGAAATAAAATAATTCAGTAGCAGAAGAACCTGCAAATTTAATAAATTAGGAGTTATCATCACAGGACCATGCTTGCTTAATATAAACCAACGTGGCAGTATGATAAATTGAACTGCAGATTAAATAGACCATGTAAAAAGCCTACCGTGAAGTATGGCACGCAAGCTTTGTAACCAACAAGTGTTAAGTAAAAGACACATCCAAGTGCAGCAGTTGTACGGCGTTCACTTAAAGAAAGATGCTCACACATGATACAGTAGCCATGAGCAATGAGCAAGAAGGAGACAAAGGCAGCAGTTTGAAAGAGCACCCCAGTTACATACACCCCGAACGACATCCACAAGGAACATGCCTGAAAATAGAAGCATGAATACCTGCAGGAATGGTGTGTTGAATGCTTAATGAAATAAATTTTGCAGGCAGCAAATGTTAAGTTCTCAATGCTAGAATGTATCATCAAACAAGCATCAAACTTAAAAAAAAAAATCAATTAAAGCTTTATTCTTCGTAATAAAAATGCACAATTCTTGATTTGCAGATCCTTTACACTTACGACTTTAGGGCAACCAGACAGTGGATGTTATGTACCTCAACTAAATATATGGTAGAAACAGATTCATTATTACAATCAGAAGTTATACTATTATTGTTTGGACAGTGTGGCAGTGTCCCCTTTTCCTGTCAATGATCCCCAACATCATATTTACCATGCACCTGTTTAGGATTTCTGTAATCTTATGTGAAGCAAAAGATAAGTAAGTGCGTTCTGGTAAATTCTGAATCCAGTAACTTTATACAGGATTGCCCGCCTATATTGGTGAGAATGCCTGCAAATATAAGACATCACACTATTTTATCTCGATTTTACCACAATTGTTTGCCCATCAGTCGGTCTATCCTTCAGTTACACTTTCTTTATTGAACAGGCTCATCAGAACTCAGAAGTCTGAGCCATATTTAATTCTATGCCCATAGCCAGACAAGTTATCCAAAAAGATATCGTACTCTCCATCATCTTATAGCTGGCTACCTCATGGTTCTCACGAATTCTCTAGGGTGCCTTTGCACAGGAGCAAAACACGTATGAAGGGACCATATGCATAGTAAGTTCTATCTATTCCCTTCCCTCTATTCCGTTAATCCTTTTATTGGCACTCCAATGGTTCTACTAATAATCATGCCTTTTAGCACTCATTTGTCCACTGAGCTATCAACAGAAACAAGAGTTATCCCACTCCTCCAAATATAAGACACTTAATAAGAATTGACTGAAATATTTGACCATCACAGAGTAGTGAATTTAAATTATAACACTAATATATTGAAATTTAAATCTTGCACACGTACAAGAAGCCACGGAACTCATCCAAAACGTACCAGAAGAGAAAGGACAGCGTGAGCTGCAATACTTTTATAAAGGGAACTGAGGTAAGTGCCCACTGCAAATTATTTGACTGCGCCAGCAAAAGAGTTAAAAAAAAAAAAACAAGAGTTATGGCTACAAAGAATTAACCTTTTCAAAATGGAAGCATAAATATAAACGCCGAGAAAACAGAAACCATCACGTGAAATAAAACAAGGTAATCATCACAAGTAACAAGAGTACACAAAAACAGATTACGCACATATTTTCGCGCTCGATTGAAGAGTTCTCTATTAATCGTAAAAGGAGAAAAGAATCTTTGCGGCAAGTTTACATCACGGAGACAAAGGATTCTCTGTAGTCTGTGCACTAAATTGGGGTGACTTGGGAAACTCTGAAAATTTTACCGGGGAAAAAACTACGGACGGGAGCAGGAATGAAATTTTGATTTCTCATGAAGCTGGATTTCCTCGGAGGTCATTAGTAAAGAAAAATGATCAAGCTCTAACACGGAAAAAGAAACACAAGTAAGCACACGGAGCATAGAACTCTTCCGAACCACCAAACAACACTCAGTGATCACCTACTTCTAGTTGAAGCAACCAATAGATGAATCCAGCATGAAAAACAGTGAAAACAGGATTCATTTCTAATCTTTCAAACCAACGAAACAACAATCACATACAGAAAGTTCCATGACAGCGAGAAAATATCTGCACAGAAGAGTGAAGAAGCTAATAAGGGATAAAATTACGATAAGGATAATGAAGGACCTGAAACCGGCGCTTTTTGTAGGTATTAAGGGTCCAAGAGCAAGCAGAGACGAGCCATAAGGACAGGAAGGCCAAGTAAAGCGAGGGAAGTGGCCTATACGACTCGTCCAGTCCGAGAGGATAGGCTCCGTCGCCGACGGTCTCGTCCATATCGGAGAATTTAAATTGAGATTTGGAGTTTGGGCGTCGATGTATTGCTGTGAGCGTTTCCTACAGCTCCAGCTTCTGTTCTACTTATACGCAGAGTGATGAACACGTCCCCAACGTGGCCTTCTCTGCTAAGAACGACATGCCCGACATTTATCACTACCCATTTTATTAGCGCCAACAATAATAAATAATATCACTATTTCACAGTTTAAAATTTCCCCAAAATTCTATTTATTATTGACCTTTTCTTTAAATAATAAAAATAATTTCACCCAAAATAAAGATGTATAGAGCCAAATTATACATATATATGGAGTAAGTTTAAAAATTACATGCTAAATGGAATTTTGACTTAGAAACAGAGAGTTGCTTTTTTTTTTTATAAATTTTTTATTTTATATTATTTGACTTTTTTACAAAAATTAGGTGAAAACTCTTGTATATTGTAAAGTTTGAGAAATTAGTTATTCCTTCCTATCCAAAATATAGGCTATTTTTAATTAATATTTCATAAGAATTAAGAAAAATAATCTATATTATTAAAATGGTAAATGTGTTTCTTTGTCAACTGAAAGAACATGTAGATAAACACATTTTTTTTATCATGGAAATAAACATATTATTTAAAATGCAGCAATTTTATACTATATATGTATGTATTTTTATATATTTGTGAAGAATCTTAAGAATTTAGGAATAAAGATTTTGCATTTGTTCGGGTTAAAAACAATTATATTTTACCCAAAAAATATTGTATATATGTCAATGAGAAAAAAATGTGTAACGCTAACACGTTTCCTTTTTTTTTTTTTGGTAACAATATTGTATATATTGTATATAAGTCCATGCACTTAAGTTAATCATAAAAAGAATTGTGAATAAGAGCCTTTAAAAATTCAAACCCATAAATTCTTTTATATTAGCATTAGCACTTTTTTCAAGATTAGTCTTTATTAATAAGGTTTAAGGTAGAGCTTGAACACCTGCATAATTTTTTGTTTTTAAAATTAAAATTTCTAATTACACTAATATATATATAAATTATGAAGTATTTAAATTAAATATTTAAACTAAAACATTTTTTAATCATTATTATCATCCATCTTTATTTAAAAATAAAACATTAGACTCTTAAAAGTAAGGTTTATTTAGAGGAGATGGTGTTATTTCAAAAATCTCACTAACTTCATTTTCATCACTTAAAATAAATATGTAACAAATTGTGTTATTTTTTATATAATTTTTAAATTTTAAATAAATTATATAAATAAAGTTAAAGAAAATAGTTATGAGGACTTTAGGGCTAACCTGAACCCTTGTCATGGGTTTTATAAAGACAGTGCCTAAAACCTCTTTTATACCAAAATTTTTTGTTTTTTCAGACTTGATATTGGAAAAATACAAGGCTTTAAAAAAGTAGCTCGTCAGGTCTAATGGCTCAAACCATAAATAGTTTAAGAAATAAGTATAATCATTTTTATCAATTACGAAAAGTACTAAAAAGGAATACCCATAAAATTCTCAAGAGATAAAAGTAGGGTCTATCACATTATATTAACTGAGATCTGAAATACAATTTTATCGATGGCATCTAGAAGCTTTGTGGCAAGTTTTGACTTCATGACATACGAAACAAATAAATTTGCGGCTACAAAACAAAGACAACATAGTTTACCAGAATTTGTTTGCAAAAATAATAATAATTTACCAGAAGATAATTATGAAGAATGCTTAGTGACTTAAAAAGTGTGAGTAGTGAATTAAGGAACGAGGGCCACATGATTATTTTGAGTTTATTTTATATTTGGAAAAATAAATAAATACAAAGTTGATGGGCCAAATTTTAAGGAAAGAAAGTTGGTGGGTGTAACTATCCGGAAGTGGCAAGTGGTGGATAAATGGATATGGAGTCACACAACAAAACCACTTTCTCATTAGTTTGTGAAATTCCCACATTCAAATTAAAACTAAAATATCACCTCTATGATCTATCCCTAGCTACCCACTCATTACCCAATAATTTAATAATTATATATCTTACAATTTATTATCATATAAATTGACCTTTTAATTTTATGATGATTTGTTACATATAAGTGACGTGTTTGCAGATCCGCGTTCGAAAGAGGACGTGAAGAGCACTTAATTAAATCATTATTATTTGCCTCAAGTCCTCAACCACCCATTTTTATCTGTTCTTTTTGTTTTTTTAAATGGCTTTTCACGCTAGTGATTCATCATCTGATTTTAGTTGGCCTAAAAAATCGATCGTCTCACTTTGTTTTCATGGGCTTTAAAATTAGATTTTGACTTTAAGTCTTCAAAAATATATATGTTCAAATCTTTTTTATTAAACTTTTTTTCTCCTTTTGATTAAAAAAAATGAAAGAATAACAATGAAGTCTCAAAATATTAAATTAATGATAATTAGGTCCTGTCATTTTTTTTTCTTACGTACATATGTGTCCTTATTGAAATTTGAAGACAATCATATTGAAAGGCATGCTTGAAGACTAAATGTTAAGCACATCTTTTAATAGAGATTTGAATTTTAGTTTATTAGTTCATTATGTTAGATGCTATCATAGTTGGTAATAAAAATTTTTAAAAAATAAGTTGTAAATATTGCTTCAGACAATTACAATCTTAGAGTTACATTTAAAACCTAAATATTTTATTTATAATTAAAATTTTTAAATTTATAATCATTTAATTTAAATAGATGTTTATTTGTCATTTAAAAAAAAAACTCATTCAATATGGCTGGAATTTGGATTTGTCGATACTTGCAAGCACTCAATTATCACTTAATGATTCTCACTCAAAAAGAAGAAGAAGGAAAATTGCAATCTTGATCCTCTATTGCAATATATATACTCACTCCGTTTAAAAATATAAAGCATTTTTAATTGAATCTCACCCCACAATAAAATAGTTATTTATTTTTAAATTAATTATATTTTTTTATATTTATTCATATTAAATACTCTACAATAAATATAAGTTCATTATCAATAAGGGTATTTTAAAAAAATATAATGATTACACTTTAAAAGACTAAAAATATCTTACATTTTTTAACATCCAACTCCTCAAAAAATATCTTATATTTTTTAATAGAAGAAGTATGTGTGTGTGTGTGTGTGTATAACATTTAAGATGAAATAATTTATTGAGTTACTACATTTCAAAAAATTACAAAAAAAAAAATATGATAGTTAGAGATTGTAGCCAACGATCATGTATGTGGTCTAACAACACCAAGCTGCCCAACTTATGAGAGGTGATCGGCTGGATTTGGTTAGCTTTTAAGTTGTTCATCTTTCCCTTTCGGGAAAAGATTAGAGGGATTACGAAAAGGTGGGATTTGAATTAATTTGGGTTTTTTTTTTATAAAATAAAATCAGAGAATGAGAACATTTTGGAAGAAAAGAAAATGGTGGGAGGTATGTTTGACCAACAAGGATGAAACTGAAGTTGAGAAAACAGGTGTTGACCATATAAATTAAAAGCTTTAAACTTCAATGAGTTGTTGTGATTTGTTAGATACAAGATGGTCATCCATCTCGACACTTTTGGTCAACAAACTCACTCTCCTATGCAGCTTATATATATATATATATATATATATTTCCCTTCCTGCCCAATCATATCTAATCTTCTCATTATTTATTTATGCCAACTCTTTACTTAATTATTTCGAAAATTATTTTTTTTAATCATATAACCTATAAGTAACCTTTTTCCAAAATTATCATTAATTTTTTAAAATCAATAAAAAAGTTTAAAAAAAAATAGAACAGAAATACATTTTTATAATTCCATGTTTTTCAGTCAAAAAAATGGAAATTAAAATAGGTTTTCATCTTAAACAGAGAGGGAGGGATGGAGTGCGGTGTTTGGATTTCAAGCCTTGATGTGAACTTTTTTTCTCTTTTTTTCTTTAATAAAAAAAAAAAACCAATTCCAAGTCAGAATTCGAACAAATGTTGTCAAACAAATCAAATTTGGGCCTCCATCTCTCCAGACATGGACCAAGAGCCCAAAGCCTCATGCTTTTTGGGTCATGGCAATATCTTTGGGCTACTTGTCATCTCCAAATTTAAATAAACCCGGCCCAAATCATTCTGTCCGTAGCTTATTGGACCAAATATTAGCATCATGGACTTTATGATCTCAATGGCTCCCAATGAAAGACCCATAAAAGATTTTCAATTTTTTAAAGTTTATTCTCTCTCCCCACCCCACACACACATTATTTTATTTAATTTCAAGAGAATTTTTTTAATTTCAAATCATTTTAATTGATTTTTTCAACATTAATGCCAAAAATCTCAACTTGAATATTGACTTATACATGTTTATAGGTGCTTATTTGCAACAATTTATTTTATAACTAATACTATGTTTTTATTAATGATAATCTGATTGATTGAAATTATATCTTTTTCATTCCTATCATATTTCTACTACACTAAACATAGTAATGCAGGAGCATTCCGACCATTTCCTTTGACCATTCTCATTCCTTTATATCATTCTAATATCCCAAACATAGAATAGCGTCTCTACTAAACTATTATCGCGACATTCACCATTGACCATAGCTTAATTGATTAGATATAAACATAATGACTTGAAATATGTATGAAATTTAGTGGGTCTAATTTTTTCACTCATTTTTTTCGAAAGCACTTTGTAAATTTCTAATGAGGGAGGTCAAGATTATTTGTTACAGTGACTAGTGTCTATATATACGTCCAGTATACATACATGATACAATATGACACAGATTTCAACTAGAAAGAAAGAGGAAAATAAATAAATAATGTTTAAAGGTCAAAGATATTGAGGATTAGGTTTGATATGGTTTTAGCAGCCTTTTTGGTAAAGGAAATTTCTTGTAGCCGCGTGACCGCTGCCCCAAGTACTACTTTTGTTTCGCCATACAATAACACTACCACAAAATGCATTAATGGATGAAAAGTCAATATTTAAGTTTTACCATCTTAATTTATGACCAATTCAAGAAGGGGCTGTAAAAAAAAAATAAAAAAAAAGAGACAATATTATTTTACAAGTTGTTGGTAAAGTGCTGTGATCCAATGTTGACA